GGTGCTGGAGTGCCTCGGCATGCAAACGAGTGGTGTATAGGCCTGACTTTCTTGACGGCTATCGCAGTCAATGCTAAAGCGGCCTCCCGGCTAGACTGTCACTTTCAGGAGCCTCGAGATCGTCCATTGTGAGCTCGGCCCTAAGCTCCCGCTGCTGCTGAAGGCCGGTGTTTTCTTTGAGCATTTTCCGAATTCAGCCGTGCTGCATGCAGAAGCCAGCCAAAGCCCAGCCACTTCCGGCAGGTCCTGGAGAAGATCAAGCTTCGGCAGCTCCACTTGCAGCGCAACGAGCTGGTTGAGGAGGGCACCCGCCAGGTCATCGAGGCCCACCGCCAGTTGCCGATGCACGGATGCATCATGGAAGCTCAACGACGCACTCCAGGCCTTGGCTTTGCAGTCCAACGGGACGCTTGCGGCACTGAGTCTCGCCTACGACGGCATCGGCGTCGCTAATGTCAAGGGATTGGCCGAGGCCTTCGAGCTCTGAGATGAGCGGGATCGGATTCAGAGATTTGCAGACCGAAGCCGAAGCGCGACGCCTGCAACTCTGCACGTAGGCTCTGCGGACAAACAGCACTTTGATCGAGCTGAACCTGAGCCACGCCTGCCTAAGCATCGATGGCATCATCGCTCTCGCGGAGGCCCAGGGACAAGTTGTACAGGCCTTTCAAGGCTTCCGCTGAAAGGAAGAGTTGCCGTGGCTGCGAGCAAACCTCGTCCTCGCGTGCAGGCAATCAAGGAGAATCGGACCCTCAAGCAGCTGAGCCTTGCTGGAAACAGCATCGCGGAGGAAGGCGCTTTCGCCCTCCTTGAGGCTGGCAGCTACTATTGTACTTGCAGCAAGCTCACAGCCACCCCCGAAACCTTTTCCTAAGCCCTACAAACCCTTCTTTTCCAGCGAGTCTAGAGCACCGCCCTGCAGGCTCTCCAAAAAAGCGAGGTGGAGCGGCGGCTCGATCTGACGGGCTGCGATTTGGGCAAGGCCCACGGGGCACTGGCCAGGGCCCTCCGGACCGGCCAGGCGGGGTGACGAGAGCTGTTGGCGTGGCTTCTTCCCCGCTCTTTCTCTCCACAGCTTCCCATCTTCTCTGGCTGTCGCTGTGGGTGCCTTTTCTCTTCAGGTGAAGGGCACCGTCACCCACCCAGCGCTGGAGTTCCTGTGCACGTATCAGGCTCGCGTGCTCTCTCTTTGAAGCGTGGCAAGTTCTTCATCACTTCGGGCCCGACGGCATGAAGTCGACGGCAGGGTTCTTAAGGACAAAGTGTCTCCCCAAGAAGCCTGGAAACCGGAACTACGCGGAACCCCTCCTACCACCCACCCGACCGACGATCTGGTATAGTCACCTTTTGCTCGGCACAATCGCTCGTTTTTCCTGGTCGCTAAACGGCCCGCGGCCACGGCGCCGCCGGCCGCACGCAGGACGATAAACTCAAATAAACTCAAAGAGCTCGAGGAAGCGCAGGCGCTCAACTTCGGTCTCTACAGCCGCGGGCTCAGCTCCCGAGAGGCCCCAGGCCAGGCCCCCTCCATGCGTGCGCTCCCACACCGAGACAACGAGCAGTTCCGGAAGTACTTCGCGCCGCTCTGCCGGGCCCTGCCAGAGCTGAAACTTCGAGAGCTCGTCCTCGAACTCATTCGCCACGGCCGCCGCTTGGGCCCCGGCCTCGGCGGCCCTTTCCGGAGCGCGCGGAGCGGAGAAGAAGAAACCCTCTCCTCCCTTCGGCTGGCAGGCGATGACGAGGCCCGGGACCTGGCCGCGGGCCTCGGCCAACAAAAGGAGCTGGAGGGGCTGGCGTTGTATCTGTGTCGAAACTCCCTGGGCCGGGGGCCTCAGCTGCGCGCTCCTCGTTTCGCTTTTTTGATATCCAGCTTGTTGGCGGCCGCCTCCCACTTGGGGTTGGGCCTGCAAGCCGACCCCATCCATGTGTATCCATCTCCGTTCTCTCTCATCTTCTTGGTATTTAGTAGAGATAGACGTGGAGACGCAGAGGCCTTCTTGTTTGCTTTTGTAAACTGCATCCGGTGTATGCAGCCCACCATGAAGTCTCAAGCCCAGCTCATCCTAGCCTGCTCCCGAACGGCCTCGACTCCCGTGAGGTGCTTCTGAGTCTTGGAATCACGCGGCGGCTTTCTTGAGATTTCGATTCCGAAAACCCTCCTGCCCCCAAATGCCCGTTCCCGTCCCTTCGGGAAGGCCGCCAATTTCAAGGCAGCTGGAAGCAGCACTTGAGCAGTCACGCCCCTGCTGCACCCAGGCGAGGAGGGCGCAAAGGCCGTGGCCTCCGCCCTCGCCCAGCTGACGGAGCTCAAGGAGCTCAGGTTGGACCTGGATGAAAACAAGATCGGCCCGGGGCCTCGGAGGGCGCTCTGCTCAGACCCCGGAAGAAGTCGAAGCCCGAGAGCTTCAGTTGCATGGGACGGCGTATCATTCTGCCCGATCCAAGCCTTAGCGCATCCCCACGCCGAAGTTTGAAGAGACGGGTTTCTGCCGATGTCCACTCCCACTCCCCCCTACTGCAGATTCTACCGAAAGTAGCGAGGCGATGCCGGCGCCACGGCAGTGGTGGAGAGCCTTCGAGAGCTGCCGCAGCTCACGGAGGTCGAGGTTCATCTGGAAGACAACAAGCTCGGCCCGGGGCCTCGGGGGCTTTGTCAAAGCATCTTGAGGACCTTGTCACACAAAAACCACGCCCCAGGCAAAAAGGAGAAGGAACAGCTCCGAGCCACCTTCGATGCGCTGCCGGTGCGTGAGAAACGCATGGTTCTTTGATCCGAGGCCCGGCCGGGGCCCGGCCCGGAGTGGGGTCGTGGCTTTTGTGGGAGACTTCGGGGCTTGGACTCTTTCGGCTGCGAGGCCCAGCCTCGGCACGCTGGTGGTGGCCTTTCTCCCGAGTGCTCCGATCCGCCGCCAAAAAAGTAGAGGTCGCGCTGTGGTGGAGCCCGAGCATTCAAGCTTGTCGCCGAGGACTGGGGTCAGGATCCGATGCTCACGCACGGGTCAAGTCTCGGAATTCGGGTTTGAGGCACGCGGTGTCTTGCACCGACCCCAATGTGTAGCGTCCGAAGCTGAAGAGGGGCTCCGCCGGAGCTGCATCCTTGCATTGGAGATGTCTCGTGCGGCTCAAGTGCAAACTTCGTGCTGCTCGAACTCCGAATTGTGTGGCTTAGTACCTGATGCCATGTCCAAGCGGATTGAACCAAGGAGCTGGGGCAGACATCTGGAAGTCAAATCGTGACATGCTGAAATAACACATTCCTCAACACACAGCTATCATCGAGGGTGCCCTGGACATTGCTCTGTTCTTCCCAGCGTATGGGCTGCGGAGCCAGCAGTGAGAGCAAGTATGCCGGGCACTGTGGGGACAAGGTGTTCGGATTCATGAGCATCAGGCGCTTGAGCCACAACCCCTAAACCTCTCTAACCCCTACAGGGCCCCTAAACTCCAAAGTGTCTTTCTGACAGACTTTGCAGTCCTCTGGCCACAAGAAGCTTGGGGCTTCGATGTTCCGGGGTCGAGATGGGTTGAGCATGGGAGAGGTGTTTGATCCCTGGAAGAGTGATCACCCATGTGATTCTTGTCTGGGGCCTAAGATCGGGAAGTTGTTGTTGTTGTTTTTTTTGGTATGTCACCGCTTCTGTGATGCAAGTTTCTGAGTGATTCGGGGTCTATAGAGACCGTAGGCTGGATACACCGTATTCTACTGCGAGCCTGGAAGTCAACGCTGAATCTTCAACTTGAGAGAGGAGAACAGGGCGAAGTTTTCACCAACAGCATTCCTGTAGCAAGCCGAAGGGTGTGCCGCAGCATGCCCCAGTGCTGCGGTGCAACACGTGGAAGATCATCGATGTCCAAACCCGTGAAAATATCATCTCTTGCACACCCCCGGGGTCTCCAAGACGTCTTGATCCCGGCTCCGACATCTGAGTCTTGCTTCGTTGTGACGGCAATCCCAGGTAATTAAGAATTTTCGACTTAGTGCACAAGGTTTGGGTTGCCAGCACTTCAAGGCTAGGGCTGTTGACGCATCTTAGAGTTCCTTTTAAGATTCTGTTGATGCCTGCTCCGACTTTTTGGTCTGGGACTTTCGGGTTCAGGGTGTGAGGGGCTGAACCTTGCGCCCGTGTGCCGCAGACAAGATCGTTTTCTGCCCAAAAGTGGCGATTCAGATCACCCTTTCTGGTGATACCGCTTCTCTCTGCCAGTTCCCTGCCGCGCCCCTTGGCTTATGTTGTTTTTGATTGACTCGATGTTTGTAGAGTACCTTAAAACGGTCCTAAGCTCTGAAGGTGCGCACTCCTCAACCGTAAGATTCCAGGTGTCTGCATGTCCGTCAGCGAACTCGGAACGGGGGTTCTAAAGTTTTAAAGAAGCCGGGGTCGGAACCGTCGTTCAAGTTGCGTCTATTTGCGCACCCCTCGCCTCGCTCGTGCCGTAGCATCCCCAAGCAGAGGAGCCCCTGAAGCCACAACGTCCAGCACTCCCCAAGCCTGAGGTGTAGAATCCTTGAGTACACAAGAGTTCCGAGCACCCTGCCGACTCCGGAAAAACGCAAAGCCCGGCTTCTCCCAGGCCATGAGTGCCGCAGAAGTTGTCGTGCTTGAGGGGAGCGAGCCGAGCCTTCGTCTGGATTTATGGCGTTTGTTTATCCCAAAGCCCTGCAACCAAAGCTGCAGCCCACCGAGGTCCATGGCAAGGGTCGCCAGTCCCACCTCGGTGGCAGGGGCGGCCTGCGCCGGTGACAAGGCGGACTTCTGGATTCTGTTGGCGCATGTGTGATTTTTGGTATTCTTTTTGATTTTTTCGGCTGGTTAGGCGTGGTAGGACTGTTGTTTTCACAGAGCCACACAGGCCTTATGTGACTTCGACTTCAAAGGATATGGCAATCCAGGTTTAGGGCTTTGGCAGGACTAAATGCTTGGCTTTGATGGCTTTCGGGAGACTGTTAGGACCGGGTGGGTTGGTTG